GTGAATGGGACTTTCCTTACTCCCTTGTACCATGACTGAAGTAGATAGAAATGTTGTGTGGTTTTATCTTTTTTCGATTCTGCATAACTTTGAAAAAGAAGACGTAAATATCTTATTATTTGCCCAAAGATAATACAATTTTTTTCCATGCGTTACTTCTTAAAATTTCGGGAAGAATTTAGTATTCCATCCCAGGATTTCAAGGATAAAAAGGATATTGTCGGATAGAGGAGATTATCATGATCAAGGATATATTCGCGATTAAAGTTGAAATTTTGCAATATTTTAATTACATATTTTCTCTATTTAAAATTAATTTGGCACTCAATTTTTTCAGTTTTATATACACTAACATATCTTTTATTCATTTGCACACATTTATTTTATATAATATAGTGCAAAAATAGCTTTTAATGTACATTTAAATTATTGTTGAAATATTATGGTTTTAGAATAACAAATGAATTACAAACTGTCAAATAATCAGTGTATATAAAGTTGAAAAATTTAAGTGCAAAAATTAAAAAGAGAAGATATGTAATTAAAATATTGCAAAATTTCAACTTTAATCGCGAATAACTCACAAACTATAAGCTTCCTGCAGCTAAAACCATATATATTCGTCATCTGGAGAATCTCCTCTATCCGACCATACCCATTTTATAACCGAAATCCTGGGACGGTATACTAAAGCCGACCCAAAATTTCTTCAAGAAGGTCCGGCGAACTTCGTTTCGCTACCAGATGGCTGCGTTTTATATAACATTTCGTTTGGTGATTAAAAGATGAAATTTTTTTTTTCGTTTTATATTTGAAAAGGAAAAATTATATTTCATTTCACAACAGTAATGAAGTCATTTCGATTACAAAAATGAACTGTTATTTAGTTGAACTTCTCTAAGTAAATGAAAGTGAATCCAAAGTAAAATAATAACTGTACCAACTTTGAGTTTGCAGCAATTGAGGTGCAATTATGTGGTGAAATCCTGGTATCTCCAGAAATCTCAAAAWCTCCGTTAGATAATTTACTACATAATCGGGATTTGTTATGGAATCAACGGATTTGTATGTCACCAAATCGCCAGCAATTTTTGATTGAATGTTGAAATTCAGTGCGTGTACGTCATTATTCTTTGCGGCAAGAATTGTTCGTTGACTTAACCATACATATCTGATAATTCCCACTAATGTGTGGGAAAACATTTTCAATAAGACCTAATTGAGAGTCTACAAATCGGCAAAAGTCGTTGGGAAGAGTATTTAATACAGATGTCGCATCAACTGGGACTTTTCCATTTCCAACAGCTAACAATTGTTTGGAAAGTTGTGCAGCACTTTGATCGCTTTGAAGTTGAACTCTCATATTAGTGGTTAGCGATAATATTTTTACGTTATTCCATAAAGGTGATGTCTTCAAGCATCAATTAATGTGCATGCGTTTTACGGAGAATTACTGGTAACGTCTGCCTGAAATCGCCTGCCAACAATATCATCAAACCGCCAAAAATTTTGTTATTTTCATCCTTCAGTGTGAAGTTAAGTGCTAAGTGTGATTTCTTATGTGACACTGTGCACTCATTCCAAACAATGAGCTTGCATTGCATCAACAATTTTCCCACTGCACTGAATCGGCAAATATTGCATGTTAGAGTATCAATTGTGTTTAAATTAAGTGGCAACTTAAGCGCAGAATGTTCATACGAGTCGCCGCAATTCCAGATGATGCTAACGCCAAAGCTATGTCACATCTTGATCGAATAGTGGCCAAAATAAATTAAATAACAAAAGTTTCCCTGTTCCTCAAGATGCGTCCAGGAAGAATAGAGCACCGGTATTATTGTCCACAGCTTGCATTAATGTCTCATATACCTGTTTTTGCTGTTCATTCAGCAAAGGCACATTATTTCGAACGAATTGCTGCAATGTATCAACATTGAATTGCTGCTCTCGATTTAATTATTGGTTGAATGCATCGTGTATCGATCGATTTGGCGCAATCATTCCTACTTCAATCAGTAACTTGTTTGCAATAGTCAAACATTGATCCTCAATCAGAATCAATACTTAATTTTTGATTTCATCAGTTATTTGGATGTCAGAATTATTAGTTTAAATGTTTAAAATTTTCACAGTTYTCAAATACGCAAATGATTTTGGTCCACGTACATTTACCAACAGCAGTCGCTAATAGAAACATTCCTTATTTCTAGAATGAACAGTATACATGCGACCTAGTGCATCAGTGGAAAACACCTGTGGCCAATCTGGAACTGGCGTTCCTTGTTTGCGACGTTGTAATTTCTTTGTTGAATGGTTCCGAGTGTAATAGCAGAAACAGCGAAAAATTCTACTCCCTTCCTCCCTTTCTTTCGTTAGCGAGCAAAAGGTGTTAAAAGTTAAGCATGCAGGAAAAACGTAGAAATCAGCTGTTCTCTTTTGATTACATTTCATTTGTTTGATATTTCATACAATTCTAAAAATGTGTCATATGGAAGTGAACAATAGCAGTGAAATGTTTTTAAGTTTGTGCGAATTGTACTCTTTATATGCTTTATGACAAAAGTATAAAAACAAAAAAGGAAAAAGAAGGTACCAAATTCGCCCAATCAATAAAAACTGGGGCTTTCCCAGGTTACCAGTTATGAATGAAAAACAGCGAGCAGAAGAACTTTTTTTTACATACAAGGATGCCACCGGACGTCTATAATTTGCTGCTGATTTTGGTATGGAAATGCTTGAAAATGCCAAGGAAGCGGATTGGACCCGAGGAAAGGATCTCGGTGGTATTATTGTAAGTTGATTTGTTGCGTTTTGAAATTAATATGCGTATGCATGTATATATGTACTTTTCTTACAATTGTTAGCTATTTGTCACAAAGCATGTCGGTGCAGAGCATTGCATGGAGCTATAAGTTAGGAAAGTCAACAGTACGCGAAATCATATTGGAGACATGTGAAGTAATCTGGCAGCTAGTTGTCCCAATTTATGTAAGCGAGCCAACATTGGACATTGCAAAGGATTTTTATAATATGTGGGACATTCCGAATTGTGTCGCTGCAATTGATGGTAAGCATGTTGCTATTAAGTGCCCGGCCAATTCCAATTCGATGTTCTATGATTATAAAAAATTATTTAGCATCGTTTTGATGGCTGTATGTGATGCGAAATATATGTTCACAGCAGTTAGTATTGGCAGCTATGGAAGTCAAAGTGACGGCGGTACTGCATATTAAATTGTTTAACATTCCGGTACAATGCATTTCTGTTATTATTGATGCAGGAATCTGGCGACTTACTCCATTTGGTCATGCATTAATATAAAACAATCAGTCTTTGCCACCACCTGTGCCACTGTCTGACTTGTCACCGGAAATTTTCCTGACTTTTTCGATGGAGATGCTGCATTCCCATTACGAAACAATTAATTGCGCCCGTTTCCCGGAGCTCATCTAACACACACGAAACGTATTTTCAACTGTCGATTGTTACGCGCTCGTAGAGTCATAGAAAATTTCTTTGGTGTACTGAGATTCTCGGTGGAGAATTTTGTGAAAAAATTGTGTTGTGTTTATAATGGTGAATGATCACAATCCCTGCTATTGTCCAGAGAACTATGTAGATCGAGTGGAACGACATAACATTGTTCATACCGGTGAGTGGCGCCACGAAAATGAAAACAACTCTTTACTACCAATGCGAACTTCGGAGCGTAGAGGTCGTTCAAATGCGTTTAACTTACGAGAAAGACTGAAGGATCTGTACCATTCCAGAACAATTTAGACGCTATTATAGGAGGACCATATGCTCCTGGAGGGCCTTATAAGAAATAATTAGCAATTTTTTTTAATTCATGAGATCATTTATTTCGTTTTTTTTTTAAATGAAAAACAAATGGATATGTTTAGAACTATTTAAATAATAAATTAATTATTTAACAACGTATAAATAAAAGTAAAAAATAACTTTAAAAGAACTACTTCATAGCTCTCTATTATATAACATTATATATATATTATATATTAAATTAGTTTTACATTTTATTTAATATTATGCTTCTCTCTGCACCTCAAATGCAGCTTGCAACATTTTCCCAATAGCCCTAGCTTGTTTTTCTTCGTCCGGGTTTGCGAATTATTGATGTTGGATTTCCTGGGTTGGCTGCGTTGATGACCATCTACTTTTGAATATCTCGATGGCTTCCATCATTTTTTGTTAGCCTCGTTAGTAGATGACCTTCGTTTTCTTCCCTGTTTGATAGCCGCCTGCGTAGAGCAGGATCGTGAGGGCAGCGAGGTTGATGTGGAATTAGTCGGGGATGGTTTCTCCACTACGCTTTGCGCCACTGGGAAAGCAGGCGATGACGACGGCAGCGATATTGTAGTCGGGCTTAATGGCGATAAGGGCCATAACGGTGATAGCACTTCCACCTCGTGCGCATGTCCATGTGGCTTCAATTGAGCTTCTTCAGCTGGTGATTACAACTCACGCTGATCATCGACATCTGTTTCACAAATATTTTGTGAGCATCTAAGCCTGTACATTTAAGTTTTTATTACTAATACAAATTTATATGTTCAATTAGTATACTAAAAATTACGGCCGCGCTACAATATGTGACTTCAGAAACTACATAGCCTCCAACAAATGCCACTGCCTTTGGAACTCCATCCCGCTGCCTGGGGGGTGATAGCCTTTCGCATTTCCCTCCCGTTCCGGTCCCGAAGTGTTAGCCATCTGCGGCGACACATTTCTCTTTTATAAATATAATTATTTATTATTAACAACATGAACAGTTTTAAATGACAAAGCAACTTACCACTTGCGTTCATTTCTATGGACTGCTCTTGTTAAATACACCCTGCGAAATAAGTATAAAGGCACTACAAAAATATTTCTTACAAAAGGAACTTTCTAATATTTTGTGATTTTATTTATGTATTTCAGAACGATTTAAAAGCAAATGAACAAAATTTAAATTTTTAATCCTTTGAGCTCCAAGGAGGAAAATTAAAAATAAAATTCAAATCTAGTACGAAATAATTATAAAGGCACAAGAGTACTTTAGTTTCTAAAATATTATTAATTTAATAAGATGTATGTCCTCCGTTATTGTTTAGAACTTCTTCCAAACGCTTTGGCATTGAGTTAATGAGAGAATGAATATACGATGGCTCAATGTTCCTCCATTCTTGTTGAATTTTTACTTTGAGCTCTTTAATATTCTTAAATTGGCGTCCATGACTGAAAACCTTACTCGCTAGCAGTGACCTGAGATTCTCAATTGGGCTTAGGTCAGGACCAATCGTAGTCCAATCGAGAGTTGGATTTCCGCGGGATAATAGGAATTCTTTTGTCTTCCTTGAACGATAGATTGCTGCGTTGTCCTGCTGAAAAATATATTCTGGAACAGACATATCTTCTCCCAACGATATTAAGACATAATCTAGAAGCTGGATATAATAATCGGAGTCCATGAAAGGTGTGGTTCCTCATTAACTTATTCCCGCCCAAACCATTTGGGAACCACCTCCAAAGTTTCAGCGTTGACGTTATTGATTGGGAGTGCCTTTCTTGCGCCAATACTTGTCTGCATCATCCGGTAAATCCAAATTAAATTTCTTCTCATCCGAAGATATTACAGTTTTCCATTCTTCATCCCAACAAATATAGTTTTCAGCAAACCGTAATCTAGATAATTTATGCCGAGGTAGCAGTGCTGGTTTGGAACATTTTTTTTTCGTAGAAGAGAGTTAAATCTTTTTATAAAATTTGTTGTACGCGTGGCACATCTACTCCTAAGTCCATTTCTCCAACTATCTCTTTTGCGCTTAAGTTTTCCTTCACTAAAAGCCTGGAAATCTCCCTTATCGTCCTGTTGTCGATCCTTGATGTCCGTCCTGATCGCTTTTTTTCCATATAGATAGCYCATTTTTATGAAGTTGTCGATGACACAGCCAGATCTGTTTAACCGCCTCGCTATATCGCGATTCGACCGTCCCTCTTCATGATACGCTTCAATTTTTCCCCTTTCCTCAAGGGTTAATGGTTTGCCGCGTGGCATTCTGAAATGTTTACATATTAAATATAAAATATTTTTGTTATTTATTAAAAAAAGACTCAAATAAGAGATATCTACTTGTATTTTCTTGTACTGTCAGTATAATTTTTATAAAGTATTAATTTTCACAATGCCTTTATACTTATTTCGCACTTCCAAACGGTTTTAATCGTGTTTTTTTCATACACACACAAGGATGAGCAAAACTTATCGATATTGCCTAAAATTGCCACAGAATTCAATTACGCATTTGCGTTATTTTGTGAGTTGCAAATCAAGAGAATAATGATAAGAAAAACATCCGCCTTTACACTTATTTCGCAGGGTGTAGTCTATTTTTAGTCTCAACTAAAGCTATTAATTTTTCGTCATCCATTGTTTATTTATTTGCACACAAAATATTTTTGATTTGATGTTTGTTTTAATGGCGCTTGTTTACATTTGAACAATGTTGCCATTGCTCAATACGCATATATAGTTTGGTACACATCTAAGTTTTCAATTACAATTTTTCATAATATAAAATATCAAAACTTAAACCAAACTATTAAAAATAGTTTATATATTTATAAATAATAGCATTCGCCTCCAATTTTGAGTTAATTTGAGAAAATTTCAAACGTATTAAAAACAACTTTTATAATTTCTACAGTACATCGAGATTGGCAACCCTGCGTTGTGAGAGAGCATTCAGCTGACACGTTTCTACGGTAAAAATCCAAATGCCGTGGATTCCTACGTCATCTTACGACAAAGACAGTTAATTCTTTCGCTTTTCACTTGCATAAGATAGATCGTATCAGTTGACACGGGCCACGGGTCTACGTTTCTGGCTGTTTGTGCTATAAGACTTGGGCATTTCAATATCCGGCACAGTGCTTCATTAGTACTGACGTATCTGCCCATTTGGAAATTGCTGATTTCGTCATTCGCATTTTCCGACGCAATGCCAAACACAGTCATGTCGCTGCCTTTTGTGGCGTACTTGCACAAATATTTAATTGATTTGGCCGAATAGCAACTCTCAACGTTTGCATGTGTTTMGAAAATTCGTGACAGCAGCGGGCAATATAGTACAATAAATTCATTTCCGATCTCAATCTCTTGATTTTGAACTTCAGCTTCGATAGTTCGACCATCAGCGTTCAATAGAAGATATCAGCAACTAACGGTCGCGGATATCGTTTTCTGTAATTTTCATCACCCATGCAAGGCGATAATGGTTTTAATGCACCGCACGGTCCATGCACCATCTGTGTCGTTACAATTCCGTGTAGAAGAGGATATGTGACTGGATCAGGAATTTTAGCTGATATGATGTCATCCACTTCATTTGAATGTAATTTGTTCCGCAACCAAATTAGGATATGAGCATGCGATAGTCCACGCTTCTGCCATTCCAGAGAGTACATATAACAACGTGTGTCACCAAAAACTCTAGCCTTAGTTTCTAGCCCGGTTCCAACTCACGTTCAATTTCCATCCACTTCGAATTGCATGTAAACGTAATAAATAAATCCGGAGTTCCATAATTTCGCACGCAAGTTACGTAGCCTAACATAACAGTCTGGCAACTATCCTTCCATATGTACGATATTAAGGTCTCGTATAGCTTTGTAAGAATATTATAAGTCAGTCTTAAGCAGAGATAATAAGATGTTTAACTCCTCCCTCACAGGAAGTGAGAGAACAATTGCTAAACGTCAAAACCACCTAAACTTTGACAGTTGATCGAATTCAGGAAGTTTTGACGTTTAACAATTGGAAACGAGCGATGGCCAGATTGAAATCTTAGCGAAAAAATACGTAAGCGGAGGGATTTGTTGCATCATTCAATACCACTTGTAAAAAATGTAAAACAATGAAAATTAAATAAATTTCTGAAATTTAAAGGTATTTGATGAAAGGTTTTGTAATTTGAAACATCATAGTATTATTTTCAATGGAAAATGATTAAAAACATTTAATGATTGAGAGCCATCAACCTTAAATCCTTTTATTGGGTATTGAAAGGTCAAAAGTCGGTTGTTCTAATATACTTTAAAAAAATTTAAATAGTTTCTCCATATAATAAATAACCACTATATAATAATTTTTATTCGTACTAAATGTTGGTTGTTTTATTTAAAATGCCCAAAAAATAGCTTTTTTTCTGATCTGGCCATAATGGAAAATGTCATAAAAAACGCTAATTTTGAGGCGCTYTCACACTGGAATAAGTTTAACATCCCTTTATTCCTGGTCTTAAGGTTCATTTCACAAATAAATGTTGTATATAYATTATACTAACATAACTGGCGCAGTCGGTCTCCAAAAAAACAAAACGGAATCAGCCTATACCCAAAAGTTAATAAAGTTAATTGGTGGAACTACTAAAACTAATAACATTTTGTGAAGTTAAATAAAAATCGAAAATAATTAAACCAAAAAAATAATAATAATAAAAAGGAAAGTTAAATTTCATTAGATCAAAACTTTGTTAACTATTAACTTAACTACATAACCTACAAGATCTACAAAACTATATAAGGTTGAAATCTACAAATTATAACTTTTTTTTTAAGTGAAAAACTGTATTTAACATCCCTAGTTCAGTACCGTACTCCGAAATTCCAGAAATTAAAATAAAATAAATGAAAGCAGCTTCTAAATTACATAATTCGGCAAATCACATTTTTTATACTGCAATTCAAAAAACTAATATCATATTGAAATAAAATAAGGAACAAAACGCAAAATGTGTAAACTAATGAAGCTATATCAAGAAGATATCGCTGGCTAAGGGTGCAAAGTGCCTAAGTCCATTTTTTCCAAAAATGAGATTTTGATGCAGTTCGAAAGATAATTCGAAAATACGTTGGTTAAAAAACAAAAAAGGGGTTTTTATTTTGTTTTTAAGTTTTATAGTGTTGGTAAGCAAAATTCTTAAGTCCATAGTTGTCAAAAAAGCGCGCGCTAAGTCCACTGAACGTACACAGCATCAGCTGTTTCATAGGAATTTGGCGCAAAATTCAGTAAAGTTTGTTTATTTGTTTTACAAAATTACTCATAAGTGGAAGGCGAATACGGTTACTTATATTTTCTTAATATTTAAAGTTTAATTATTGTTATTATATCAGAAAATGTGTGCTGATAAAAATAAACCAAAAGCAGTAGAGTGCCCTGATTTTGGAATTGAAGCAGATGATGGTGTTGTAGGACTAGTGCCTTATGGTTTTAACAGCAGTTCAGACAATTCATTTGAGTTACCAGAGCAGAGTAAAACACGTAAACGAAGATTAAAAACAAAATCCAGTTCCTCCTTTTCTGAAAAAAATAAAGTCCTTCGCCAAAGTGGTAAAAAATACCTCGAAAAAAAAAACAGGTGACATTTGGCAATACAATAACGTGAGAGACGCTAGAACTCTCAAGCAAAGCTGTAATTGTTTGGACAAAGTTGAGACTGCAATCATGAAAAGCGCACAACTGTCAGAATCATGTAGAGAACAAATATTTAAAGAATTTTGGAAATTTTGTTGGAAACAAAAAAAATTACGTTAATACTTTGATAGAGTGTATTCAAACTAAAAGACCTCGCAATCGTCGCATAGAAAACGCATCCAAGAGAAGTCAAACAAACACAACCGAGGAATGGCTACCCAAAGTGTACAGCAGCAAGAACTAAGTATGCTTTTCGACAGTCTTCCAGCCACAGAATCTCATTATTGTCGAGCTACAAGCACAAAAAAATATCTATTATCAGAATGGCAGTCTAAGACAAAGCTTTATGATTTCTATAAAAATAATTGGTGTACTGAACACGAAAAGCAACCTCTTTCTATGACATTTTTGAAAACAAAAAATTATCTTTGTGT